ACAGTGACAAACTGTTGGCAATGATCCTGGTAGATAGAGGTTATTACCAATTTATTGGGGGAGTGTAATATTGTCCCTAAAATCTGACTTAGAGTACTTTTGTATTAAGACGAGTTAGTCACTTTGTGAAAGTCTGTAAAATATTGTAAAGTCATTTCAATTTTCCAATAAAGACAAGCCATCGTGGCATGATTGTGGGTTAAAAAAAAAAAAAAAAAAATAATTCATATAATATTAAAAAATCCGAAAATTTATCTTTATTAATATTAATACTTGCTTATACAGTACACCATGCCATGTTTACAGTATACTCTATTAATCAACATATTAGATAAAGGAGAATCCGTTACCGAATCAATGACAAGTAAAGAATCGAATTTTCAACCGTACGTAAACACGAACGAATTTTTGCTCACGTGCGATTTATTTTATTTATTTCTTTGTATTTAATTTTTTTTTTTGTAGCTGTGAATAATAATATGTTACAAGATGACAAATATAACGGTGCTAAAACTACAGCATGAAAAAATTTGTGCTGCTATATCTATATAATTTTAAATAATATATAATATATATAAGGTCCCTCAATAGTAAATCACTGCTATTTCGAGATTGGACCGGATTAAATAAAGAAACTGAATTAGTAATGCTGACATAAAAAAAACCACATAAATCAGCTTCAATCACATGTTATAAAATTTACCAAACTTATAATATATACACCAACCAATTGTTGAGATCCAAAAGTTGGAATAGGAAAAAGAAAAAAAAAGAATAAATACTGTACAAAGAAAAAAAAAGAAAGAAAGAAAATTCACGTTTCGAAGCCTTTGATAACCTTGAGTGGTTGTAATTCTAGCTTTGGGACAATTTCTGCCATCAAATCTGTCTGGTCTTCAGAGATTATGGCCACAACACCATCGCTACCACGATGAACTCTTGTGAAATTTTTAATTCTCTGTTGATTAAGCTGACTATCCTCTTCTTCATCAGCTGCTTCATCTGAAGTTCCGTTTGCCCCATTGACACGATTTTGTGCCACTGCGAGTTTGTCGAGTTGATCAAGTATCGCTGCTGTAAAATCTACATCGAATAATTCGCTAACATGACGCCGCGTCGGTAATCTATAATGGTATGATGCCAACATTTGGGTCACCTTGTAATACGGTCCTAATTGTTTGAATATTTCTGGATGTTGAGATCTTATCCTATTGCACATTATAATGAGTAAATATTGATTTAAGAGCAATCCATTAATGATACATGGTAATCATCACTCACTTGGACAAACTTTTTGAGCCATTGCTTGATAATATCCTGTTAGTCAAGTTTGCCATTGCCTTCAACAAATCCCTTTCAATGTGTGAACTAGGAGTTATAGAATTCACAGGCAGATCATGTACATATTCAAATCCCTTGTAGGTCCACTTTGGGAACTGCAAATCAGAAATGGTAAGTATCATGACAAAAAAAAAAAATAATATAATATGAGCACATCCTTAGGGCTTACAGAAAGAAATGCCTCAGAATTCATAGGACAACATAAGCCGGTTCCTATCTCTGTATGTGGATCATATACACACTCCCACTTTAAATCTTCCAGGATTTTGACACCAGACGCAGTTTTCGCAATCAAACCCAACACAAAGAAGCATGTCCTAAAAATCAAATTTTGATAAACAATACGAAATAATACAAAAAAATCTGATAATTAAACATTTCTCACCCTTTTAATGAAAGAACCGCCGAGTTTTCCGAAATGGAAACAATATCTTTCACAATATTTTCTTCTTCCAAAAATTGCAGCCCACTTTTGGATGCCCCAATATTACCCTAAATGATAAATGCTCAGAATTCCTTCATCATGAAAATTACATGTGCAGAAGGTAAATCATACCACAGCCCAGAGAATTGATTTTAATTTTGAGATTATAGCCATGTCACGCCGTTCCATCCCATGATCCCTTATGAAATTTGCGAATTCACGAAAATGTTCCTTTTCTCTCAGCAATTGACAACCTTCCTCAGTTTTTGTGAGTTCCCCATAGAAGTGTGCCGGAGACATTCCATCAAAACTGTTTCTGATTGATCCGAATGGAAAGGATTAAGATCAACTCATAAATGTGACGATTACAGGTTCACTCACATTTTAACATCCTTATCATCATCCTCTCCGCGCCCTTCATCACCATCAAGTTTTAATGCATTCGCCAAGGACACTTCCAATTGGGTCACGTAATATTGATTGCGGCTCTATTTGGATAACGCGGAGTCGTTGTCAAATTGTTGTTCATTATTTATTATTTCATACCAGAAAATACCTGGAACCAATCATCCATCTCTTTTTCCACATAATTGGACTCGGAAAGATATTTGAATCCGATGGAAGTCGATAAGAATCTAAGCAATAAGGGGTTACCCACTTCTCCCAGGTTATCCAAACTAGGTCGCAATTTCACGAGCAATTCGATGTTTTCTTTGTGATTACATGTTTCTTCCAACACACGTACTGCCATTTGGCACACTTCCATCGCAGGATCGTACAACTGAAAATTGATCGTGTTATCACGAAACCCGAAGTGGAAATGAACAAGTGAATCATGAAATGTTAATCTAATTCCGTTACCTGAGTTATAAGCAACTGAATCCCCCATTCGTTAAATTTTTTTGCAGAGGTTCGCAAGATCAATCCAAGGTGTTTCGTGGCGTAGAGTCGAACACGCTTTATGATAAGTAGAAGGACGTAAGTTTAAACCGGACGTCAAATTTGAGAGTTAATTTAGACTATTTTTCTTTTCTTTTCTTTTTTTTTTTTTTTACCTTGTATCCGGAGGTCATCACCTTGGAAATAAGGATGCGGGGGTGGGCATCTCTATTCACAGAAAAACAAATAAATATTTAAGATTATCGCTATGCAGATATTTAAATTTTATTCATATGACGCACAAGCTATAATCAAGATTCGTTATGATGGCCTTTATTAAATCTTCGCGACTTCTTAATTCACTCAAGTGGTAGAATGTGTTGAAGATTTTGAATTTTTCCAATAGCCTTAACGTTTCGGGAAAAAAATTTTAAGAATGTTCACTCGTTTAATGAAAGGAAAGAAAAAACAGATAAGAAATAAATAAAACCAATAATCCATGATTACTTGATTCCATCTTTGAACTTGCTAAGAACTCCTATCATGGTAAAATACCCCGAGGTCAAGGTGTTATTTATCCTTTCCTTGGAGAATAATGGTTCGGTTTCAAAAGTTCCATGAATCTAACAAGTTAGACAAAAATAAGTTGTCAATACTTCCAATAAGGAGAAGAAGAAGAAGCTAGCTCTTGAATGGAATGACTGAATACCGGATCAAGTTGATTTAGACCATCAGCAATCTGCCTTAGAAATTTATTACTTTCCAAATATTTGACACCGTCGGTGTTTGCCAAGAGTGTCGTGATGAGCGTACACCCCAATTGTATATAACGATCATTTTCCTGCGGAAATTGAAATTGTTTTGGTGAATTAAAAAATTTGAAAAATCGGGTATGTTGTAAGAATGGTAAATTAAAAAAAGAAAAATATTTACATGACATACAGGGTTTTTTTCTATTTCCGAAAACCTTCGGCTGGTTGGCCTAAAGAATCCAAGAAGTCGCTTCATAAACTTCGATCTAATTGCCTCTTCGAGTCTCCTCGGATTCAATAAAGGACCTTGCAACAATTCCAACAATGTTTCCCAGTTCCATTTAGCATAATCCTTGGTGTTTAGAACCTAGCATTTGCACAGTTACGACTTTATTTGATGGAGTTCATCGAAAATCCATTTATGGTAAGAGAACTACCTGAGTTTCCAGCAACATGTTTCTAAAGTGAGTATCATCGATCTGTATGCCCATTTTAATTTTTACATTTTCAACTTGACGTGCGTTTCGTCTTCGCTGATTCGTGGGGGACATTGAATCATCGGTATCCACCCCATTGACTTGCAAGCGACTTCGAGTTCGATTGAGGTTATCAATGTGTGATAGTGCTGCTGTAGCGCTATGACGTACCATTTCATTGTCAAATTTAGTCGCCAGGTTAAATAGCTTGGGAAGGGACTGGTGATAAATCGCGAATTAATTTTAATAAGCGAAATCAGGAATCTCGGCCAGCACTCGCGTTTGAATGCCTACCTGTATTTTTATCGATCGATTCACGGATAACAGTCGATTGGACATTTGAAGTATTTCCCCGATAAATAGAGTTGCCCTACGAGCAATATGTTGATTTTTGTCTTCAATTATTTCAACCAGTGCCTGTGCATAACGCCTTATTAAAAAAAGTCTTATTTTTCATATGCAAACAGTTTTTTAACCAGAAGTATACTTCAAGTAATTACGTCGAGAAGCCCCGCGTCTATAAATATTTCCAACAATATCACCAAATGATGATCCAATAGATTTAGTCTGTCCTGGGATTTTAATGAGTCTGATTGTAATTTGCCATCATTTCCTTCGGGGGACAATAATCCATAAACTATGTTCGAATCGAGCAACTCAGTACGTTGCATGCATTGATGAACTCGAGTGCCAAGTAAAATAAATTACCAGTAAGCCTTTTTCCCGATAAAAAACTCGGATACCAATCTGGCGCTTTAATCCGAAAAATGTTGAAAAACATATCAAGCATAATTCCCTATTGTCGACAAAAAAAATTCCAACCGAATGAGAAGAAATATATCGCTATCATGATCAAACTTCTTTTCCTTCTTTCGCCAAACGATTCCAAGAATCAAAGGAAACCGACGTGAACTGACCCGTATTTCATCTGATGTTATTCTGAAGGACTCCACGATAGACCTCACTGCTTGTTTGTTATCCATGCATAAATATATAATTCCTGTCCATGACTTTAACAATACGGAAATTGCTCTGGAACTCGCCCTCACTTGCTGATCAAACTTGGGACCCTTGTTACACGCATCAGTGAAACCGGAGAGAACAATCTGGAGCGGACCATAATGTTATCAAAGTTTCTTCTCAGAAAATTTACAAATAATCTTTTTCTAACCTCCAAATCGACACCAGGTCTTATGCAATCTCTGGAATCAGGTGTGTCTATTACGTATAATAAAGCCATCATCAAGTATTCCGAGAGCTCCAAGGGGCCATCGATTAAGGCTTGTAATAATACCCTCATTCCCCCGCAGTTGGTAATAAGTATTGGTTCTCGAATCACTATGTAAAATCGTGAATTTAATATTGATAATCTTGTTCGGAATCTTCATTTATTTCGAAGAATCACTGAATTCTCACTTATTTCTGCCAAGGTCTCGAGACATATACTCCTCAGCTTCTCCTCGGGTTGTTCCGCAATGGAAACAATGCACCGCAGCACACCAGTCGGTATGTGCTTTGTCCCATTCGTAACATCCGAAAAAGTTCTTACGATCTTGATTACTTGTTCCCTCTCATCATTGTACGAACGTGGGTCCCTCGATAAAGACCTAAAATATACCATAATTCATATTGAACGTAAGGAAGGTTACGAAAATCCTAAATTAACGAGATTTTTCGTACCTCATAAAAAATACATGATAATTTAGGTTAACTATTTGAACCAAGGTAGTAACATCAGCGATCAGATAACGTAAGGCTCGATATCCTGCTATCCTTACTTCCTTGACTGAATCTGTCACACAAAATCTCAGTCTAATTGAGAATGCGAGATGATCGTGTGAGAAAATGGAATTGAGTCAAACAAAAGAAAAACATTTTCATATAATGAATACGCACAACATACCCCCGCAAAAAAGGTTCGGGTGGATAAGTGTATTTTAATCTCTCGTGATTTTTTATTAATCGAACCAAACTTCCCAACTTGTCTACCCGCACTGCTGCTTCCTCCGCACGATCCTGGATACAAGTTAACACATCATTTATTATTTCTGCGGGTGTTCGCGTTTTATCTAAATCACATAATTAAGATCAAGTTGTTTATATTAGAGAGCTAATTCAATCTGTCTTCAGTGACAATTGAAGAGGACATCATCCGAACCTTCATCTCGCTCGACATCCGATTCAATCTGCCTGATAAGATTTTGACGAAAGCGTAATGAAGATCCGTCAGGAGGAAAGGCGGCAAACCTCCGTCTATGTGATCTCATACTACCATCTGCATGATAACGATGACGCACAATAAATTGATTAGTTGGTCTTCTCGTTGTATGTTTAATCGAATCGATCCGATACCATCGACTGCTTCGGTCATGATCTCTAATTTTTGGTTTTCACTTCTTTGATTTTAATTAAATTTGCGGTATAATTGTCAATAACCGATTATAAAGCTAAAACCACAATCAATCGTTGAATGCTTTATATGTAATGAATCTCACTTCATGGGGAACACTTTATTGTAAAACCGATTGAGCTCAAAAAAGCAGGAACGCACTGGTTATTCAACCTTATATATGTATGTGAATGTGTCGCACAATTCCAAATATAGTCAAAGTTTTGCTAATCATCCAAATAATCACATGATTTCGATTAAGGGAAAACTTGAACAAAAATTTTTTTTTTTACTCTGGCGTATGACTCGTATAATTATAAATTTTATAAATTACAACCAATTTCCGTGATCAAGATAATCTTTTTATACTGTATTTTGCTTTCTGCGAACGAGATATAACGCATACACAAAGCGCTACCGTGTCTGTGGTCACATGATAACTAACCATTATGTGCGTGCGTACATACGCACGCACATTATTTGCATTGTGTATTATGTGCATTCTTTCATTGTACATTACCATTGAAATGCATATATTCTAAAAGTATTTTGGTATGGTTTTTGGGGGGTGAAGAATAATTAGGTGCAGATGAGGTCGTGTCGCGGTGCGGCGTAATTATTTCTGTTTTAGAGTCACGTGAAAGATATTTCGGCCCCATGCTACACTCCCGTATTTAATTAACAGTGAGTCGATACTTTACTAATATATACATAGATTATACGATGCTTTACTAATATATACATACATAGATTATAATTTCATTATTCACGGTAATAATTATGAAAAAATTGTCATTAACAAACCAATTATACAGTATATATTAACTTTAGTTAATATAAATATCCTTTAATTATATACAAAAAATTTTATAACTAATTTTTGTTTTAACAAAATTTTAAAATTATTCTTAAAATAACCTTAAAGATTACTGTTATATTTTTTTTCCTATTTACAACTCTTTTTAATCAAAAACTTAATTAAGAAATTAAATAACATCTTTATTATTAGTAAAAAAAAAAGGTTTTTAAAGAAATTATAATATATTTTAAAAAAAAATTTTTTTTATTCATTAATTGTTCTAACTAAATTTTATTTATTTAATTTAATCTTAAATTTTTAAATAATGTAATTTTTATTAAATATAATTCATCAATATATAAATTATTAATTATTAATATATATGGTAACTTATAAAAGTCTTGCAAATAAAATTAAAATTGACAATCTACAAAATATATATTTTTTGTTTATTTTAATTAAATTCTTGTTTTTTTCATAAACTAGAAACAAGCTTATTAAGTTATTCTAGAAATATATAATAACAAAATAATATAATATAAATTTTACTATAAAGATAAAAATTAAATTATAATATCTATTTTATAAAAATATTAAAAACTGGAGTATTCTATTTATAAAGATAAAGATAAATGAAAAAAATGAATATATATATATTATAAATATTAAATATCTAAAAGATATTTAAGAAATCAAACAAAATAGATCAATTAATAAAATATTAAGAGAAATCCAGAAAAGAATTATAAAAATTGACAATGATTCAGATTCTGACCTGATATCTATTGACTCAAAAGAATCTATAGATAAAGAAAATAAAGGAAGAAGAAATACAAAGTATTAAACTTCCAAAAGATTTGTTACTTAATATCTAGTTACTGGAATAAATAGAATACTATTAAACTTTCAAAAGAAAAGATAGCAAAATAAATATAAAAAGAACTCCAATGACAATATTAATAGTAAACATAATAGTGTATAACAAGAACCACTATAACTGATTCTAAAAAATCTAGAAAAACTCAATAATAGAATATATAAACTAGAAACAGAAAACTATTTATCTTTTAAAATAAGAGGTGAAAAGGAAGCAAATCACTTTTGAAAAATATATCAGTTGAAACAACTTATTTAGAAAGCAATAAATCTTTTTGTCCTTCTTATAACATAACTCAAAAAGAGAATTAGATGACAAGAATAGAGACAATAAAAATAAAGCAACAGCAACAAGAAGAATTGGATATATTTATAGAAAAACAAAAAACTATATTTCAAAATAAAAACAAAAATAAAATAGAAAATGTAAAAATAAAGACCAATAATATAGATAGTATAAGTATAATAAAAAATAAAGTAATTCGAATAAACTCATATAATATAAGAGGCATAACAGATATGACAAAATAACAAAACCTATTAGAAGAAATAGAAGAACAAGAAATAGATATAGTAGGACTAAGTGAAACAAAATTCACTTCTACCAATGGTAAATAAATCTTCAAGAATCAATTTTTCTATAAACATTATTTCAATATAAATGAGGAAACTCTATATATAACAAGAGTCAGCTTGCTAATAAAAAAAGATCTAAAAAAGAAAATTGCATCAATTTAAAAATAAAAAGTATATGCTAACTCTGGGCAAAAAATAATAATACCTGTATAGTACAGATTTATCTACCAAATAATAAAAAAAAAAGTTAAAAGTGTTAAAATAAAGTCAAAAAACTAATTTAAGAAAAACTAGAAAAAATATTTCATCTAATTATAATAGAAAATTTTAATATAATATATAATCCTATGGAAGATAGAACATCAATATCCAAGATAACATTTAGATCATCCTGGAAACTGAAAATTTTACTTTTTACTTTTTTTGAAGATAGAGACTTTATTAATATATAAGTAACCTGAGAAGAAAAAAAAAATCACATATTAGACAAAACACCATAAGCAAGAGTAGAATTGATTATTTGTGAATATTCTATAGTATAACAATGATCCTCTTTAAAAATAAGGATATATCAGATATAATAGGAAGTAATTATATGATGTTAACAGTTATACTGCAAGATATAAATTTCTTTTTAAGAAGCAAGATCTCTAATTAATTCAACAAGACCATCAAAGTAATAAATATCAAAAAATCCACAAAAGAACAATGAAAAAAGTATTAAAAAAGTGTGAACTACAAATTCACAATAAAATTGATGTCAATACTAGAAAGTGAATAAATAAAACATCAATAAAATTATAGGAAAATCAAATATGGAATGTTTTTAAAACCAGATAATCTCAACTGCATTTTTCAAATTGATAATCAAGAAAATAAGATTAAATCAGGAAAGAAAGTACTAATCAAAACCTAAATTCATTAAATATAGAAGAGTCATTAAACTCAATATATTGTTTACTGTAAAAAAGCAAAGCTAACCAAAGTACATGAAGACATACAGACTCTCAATATAGGGATATAAGAACATAGTAAAAAATATTACTTTGGACTTCAGATTGAAAACTTATATCTATAATATAGTATAAAGAATATGCTCTGGTCAGAAATTCAAAAAAAAATTCAGGATACAATTGAAACACTTAAAATAGTTTGTCAAAATAAAGAAAGTAAGAAAATTAAAAAAGAAATCAAAAAAGCATTAGAACAAATATACGATAATCTTTGAAACAATCAATAAAAAATGATTAACTCAATCTTAAATAGAGAAAGAGTCAAAATAGTCTTAAATAGAGTTAAAACTATAAATAGCAGACAAGAATAAATCACAATAAACAAAGTAGAAATAGAAAAAGAACTTCGAAAATATCATAAAGAAGTCTTTAAAAAATGAAGTACTAATTTTGATCATTTGACTAAGGATTAGAAAAAAGAGTATAAATCTAGAATGAACATTAATCATATATGATATAAAGAACTCCTAACTCCTATATTTCAAGAAGAGCTCTAGCAAACTCTATAAATATTACTGAAAAATAAAGCTTCTAGTAGATCACAAATATATTATAAGATACTTAAGAAACTAAGCATCCAAAGTAAAGAATATTTTCAAAAGATATTAAACAAGTTTCTAGAAGTTAAATCACTCCTAACAAATGGAAACAAAACCATATTTAGCTAATTGCCAAACCAAAAACATGGGATTGCAAATTACAAAATATGAGATCAATTGTTTTTCTAAAAGTTACTTAAAAATGTTTTATAAAAATCCTTACAATAGACTAAGTAATATTTACAAAATATATAATATCCTAAAGAATTTAAACTTTACAGGTTTATCTAGAGAAAGTATAGCAGAACTTATTTAAGTCTTAAACAATATTTGTGAGGAAGCTAGAGACAACAAAAAGAAATTGTGGATATTCTTTCAAGATATAGCCAAAGCATATTATACTATAAGTTTAGATATACTACAAAAGGTAATGGAAAGAATTAAAATTCTGACAAGATTCATCAAAATTATTATGGATCTTTTTTAAATAGAAAATTCAAGATACTATATAAAAATAAACTGACAGAATCAATAGTTACAGGAAATGGTATAGATCAAAGAGAAACATTTTACCACTACTATGGAAAATATTCTATAATCCTTTATTATATAAAATTCAAAATGATAAAGATAAAGAATACACAATATCAGTTAAAAAGAATCCAGATTTTGATAAAAGAAAGAACATAAGCTAGAATCCAGACATGCAGCAATAGCTTTTATGGATAATATTACATGAATAGTTAGATCAAAAAAGGATATGAAACAAATCTTAGAAATAACAATAATCTTTTATAAAGTCAACAACTCTTAAATTAATAGTAGTAAATCAGTACTTATTACTATTAACAACTTTAGCCAATATTCTGGAAGAGTCAAATCAGAATAAACAAAGAAATAATAAAAGAATTGAATAGAAATGAATACATCAAATTTCTAGGTATATGAATAAAAAACCAAAGAACTTCAGTAGAATAATAAAGAAAATTCATAGAAAATCAACTTGATAATTAGAATACTAAAAAAAAAAAAAGTAACAGATAAATATGTCATTTATATTTTAAATAGAATTTCAATTTCAAGAATAGAATTTCAAATGCAGCATAATATATTATCACTAAAAATATGCAATAACCTAACAGTCAAATTTCAAAAACTATTCAAGATCAAAAGTGTATT